AGGAACATGACATCATTGCTATTACTAGGAATAGTGCGCAATCATTGGTATTAGTTGGGGGAACAGTGCCCCATCATTGGTATTACTAGGAGGAATAGTGCCCCATCATTGGTATTAGTTGGAGGAACAGTGTCCCATCATTTGTATTACTAGAAGGAATAGTGCCCGATCATTGGTATTAGTTGGAGGAACAGTGCCCCATCATTGGTATTAGTGGGAAACAGTGCCCCATCATTGGTATTAGTTGGAGGAACAGTGCCCCATCATTGGTATTAGTGGGAAACAGTGCCCCATCATTGGTATTAGTTGGAGGAACAGTGCCCCATCATTGGTATTAGTGGGAAACAGTGCCCCATCATTGGTATTAGTGGGAGGAATAGTGCCCCATCATCATTGGTATTAGTTGGAGGAATAGTGCCCCATTATTGGTATTAGTTGGAGGAACAGTGCCCCATCATTGGTATTAGTTGGAGGAACAGTGCCCCATCATTGGTATTAGTGGCAAACAGTGCCCCATCACTGGTATTAGTTGGAGGAATAGTGCCCCATCATTGGTATTAGTGGGAGGAATAGTGCCCCATCACTTGTGTCAGTGGAAGGAATAGTGCCCCATCATTGGTATTAGTGGGAGGAATAGTGCCCCATCACTGGAGTCAGTGGGAGAAATAGTGCCCCATCATTAGTGACAGTGGGAGGAATAGTGCCCCATCATTGGTATTAGTGGGAGGAGTAGTGCCCCATCATTGGTGACAGTGGGAGGAATAGTGCCCCATCATTGGTGTCAGTGGGATGAATAGTGCCCCATCAGTACTAACAGGGGGAGGAATAGTGCCCCATCATTGGTATTAATGGGAGGAATAGTGCCCCATCCTTGGCGTCAGTAGGAGGAATAGTGCCCCATCCTTGGTGTCGAGGAGGAATAGTTCCCCATCTTTGGTGTCAGGGGAATGAATAGTGCTCCATCATTGGTATCAGAGGAATGAATAGTGCTATTAGTTGGAGGAATAGTACCTAATTGTTTATATCAGTGGGAGGAATTGTGCCCCATCATTGGTGTCATTGGAAGGACAAATGCCCCATAGTTGGTGCTAGTGGAAGAAATGGTGCCTCCTTGTTGGTGTCAGTGGGAGGAGGGCCAGATAGAGGCAATCAAAGGCCGAATTCGGCCCAGGGGCCACAGTTTGGAGACCACTGGTATAGACTGAAGTTACTAAAGGAGTGTAATGGAAGTAACTGTCATATTCTGCACTTAGTCTACAACATGGGTCAGTTGACACACACCGGGGTATGAAGACAGCAGTACCAGAATGATTTCAGTGTGAAGACAAAAAGTGGTTCCCAGGGGTAATATAGGTCTAGAAAGCAGCGATGTGTACATGTGGCAGGTGGGATAGCCTCTTGCAGAAGGAGTTGTTAGCACTTTCTATGTGAGCAGGTCCATCTCCAATAGCAACAAGAGCAGATCAGCACTGCACAGGTCCCCAGCCTGTGCACAGAAGAGCAAGAGTTAAGTGCATACATGGAGCCTGTGCTAGGCACACGGCAGGGCCACATTCCGGTACTGGGAGTGAGGTAGCAGAGATACGCTGGACATGTGGAGTGGATATGTCCTTCCTAAATGCAACTGTGGCAGTGAAGGTATACATTTGTACAGGGCTACAGGGAGACAACTGAAGTTTGGTTTATTGGTTCAAGTGTATATGGTGTACAACACAAAATAAGTGTACCCCATGTGTAAGGCAGTGACCCTGTTCTGTGCATCTTCGCACACTGGCACCAAACTGCCTATTTAAAGGAGACTCTGCTGTGTAGTAATCTCCAGATGTTCTTCAGCCTCAGGGGCAGACTGACCATTTGGGAACTCGGGCACTGCCCGAGGGCCCGGGGTCAGAAGGGGGCCCCATGAGATGCCCCTGGTACCTTTATCATAGGCTTTTTTGGGTGTGGTTTGAGTGTGGGCAAGGACACAGGGGCCCCATGGTCCCCTATTGCCCGGGGGCCTTATGAGTTGTCAGTCCGCCCCTGTTCAGTCTTCTGTAATCTGTGTTCCTGTTTGTACCGACTGATCTTCCGTAGCTGACCCGGCTTGTTCCTGACCTTGCTCTGTGGATTCTGACCAGGGCTTGACAAATTTGCTGTGAATCTAAGAGCCAGCTAAAAACATTAGGAGCCAGTTTTTTTAAAGAACGAATGAAAAGAAAGCAAAGAGACACCTGGATGCTGCTTCACTGCTTTAGGTATTTTAAATCCCCACAGCTTTCTCTCCTTTCCTCCCAGCACTGATAGGATGGGCTAGACCAGCAATGGGCAAACTATGGCCCGCGGGCTGTATACGGCCTGGTGGACCTTTTAATCCGGCCCGCGGAGCGTGATAAGAAAAAAAAAACAGCCAGGGCAGGCAAACATTGCCTGTCAGGATGTGTGTAGGTGGGGCAGCGTGACGAACGTGAGGGGAGCTAGGCTCCTCTCACAGTCCGCCCTGAAGACCGGAACGGCGCGGGAACTCGGCGAGAGGAACGCGCGGAGCAAAGGTAAGCGAATTGACACAGAGGGGACTTTGCTTACTACTTGGGGGGGAATAGTACTATGGGGGATGAAATACTATATAAGGGATGAATTAATATGGGGGATGAATTAATATGGGGGATGAATAATTATAGGGGGGATGAATTACTATGGGGGATGAATTACTATAGGGGGGATGAATTACTATATGGGGGATGAATTACTATGGGGGATGAATTACTATATGGGGGATGAATTACTATGGGGGATGAATTACTATAGGGGGGATGAATTACTATATGGGGGATTAATTACTATGGGGGATGAAATACTATATGAGGGATGAATTAATATGGGGAATGATTTACTATAGGGGGGATGAATTACTATGGGGGATGAATTACTATGGGGGATGAAATACTATATGGGGGATTAATTACTATGCTTACTATGGGGGAATATTACTATACTTACTATGGATGGCATGGTAGTGTTTAAATTAATCTAAACATTTAATGTTACAAATTTTAATTTAATTTATATTAATTCACACATACACATCATTCATCTACTCTTGGTCCGGCCCCCGGGTCCAATATATGAACCCATTGCGGCCCTCAAGTCAAAAAGTTTGCCCACCCCTGGGCTAGACAGATTCTGATTGGGCAGCGCTGTTCATGTGATGGTGCTGACCAATTAGAATGCCTCTTGTCTGTACGCTGAGAGGCATGGATAGGAGATTATGCCATAGAGATTTCAAATCCCTGGATCAGTGAAGCGGCGTCCTGGTGTCTGGCAGCAGACGGCTGACAAAAGCCCAGACGCCAGGACGCAATTCTTCATGGTGACCTGGGATTTGTCGAGCCCACAGTACAGCTCCCGCCCCCCCCCCCATAACACACAGTACAGCTCCCCTCATATCACACAATTCAGCCACGCCCCAACATTTCACGAAGCACAGCTACACCCCAATATCACGCATTACAGTCCCCCCATATCCCACAACACAGCCCCCCCCATATCACACAGCACAGTCCCCCCCATATGACACAAAACAGCCCCCCCCATATCCCCCCCGCAATCCGGTGCCCGCTGTGTCCTCCGTGGAACAGTGGAACACCGATCATTGTACGGGACCTCTGTGTGAGGTCCCAATCGTGATCCCTGATTGGCCAATCAGTGATAACATGCAGAGTAGTAAGCAAGATGTCACTTGACATAATTGCTTACTACGTGTGAAATCTATGAATAATCACAGAGGTCACATGGTACAAGGCTATTCACAACAGCCTTGTACCATGTGACAATCTGTGACCAATCACAGCTCACACAGTAGTTCTCAATGGCTGCAAGAATGCAGCCAGAGAGAAGGAGAAATTATTGATTTTACAGTCTTTATGGGTGTAAAAGCAATCAGTGTAAAAGAAAAAAAAAATCTTCAAAACCCCCACAAGTAGTACAGTGTCACTATGGTGACACTGTACTGCTAGGATGACAGTATGTAAAAAAAAAACCCATAAATAATAATATAAAAAAACAAATTAAAAATGTAAAAAAAAACAAATTTGAAAAATTATAATTGTTGCTTATAAACTAATTTGGGTTTTTTTTTTGCTAAAAAGATAACAATACATTTTGGCCAATATTTATGAATAAAGATTATTTATTTGCAAAGTGATATAAGAAAAACACTTTTTTTCCAAATTTTCTGACATTTTCATTTATATAGCAAAAAAAAAAAAATCCCAGTGGTGAATAAATACCACCAAAATAAAGTTTTATCTGTCTCAAAGAAATGCTAAAAAATTAATATGTGTACAGTGTTGCATGACCGCGCAATTGTCATTCAAAGTGTGATAGTGCTTTAAGCTGTGTACCAGGGTGGGCTCCCCCGGATACAGTAAAGTCACGAACGAGGAAAACAACCCCTACACCAGTTTTTGCCACAACAGAATTTTACTTCGATGTGGCAAATAAACACAACCACAAATGCTGGAAATATACAATAAATTTACATACACCCAGCCCAAAGGCTGAGAACCTTGTGCTGCACAGCACGGCGCCTTCCAATGGATGAAGGTAGAAAGTGAAGTAATTTACCTACTGGCGGGCACAACTAAGCTGCCACACCTTACCTGTTATTACCCTAAAAGAGCAGGAATCAGTGTATGGGTGTACGGTATGGACTAGCCTGCGGTGCAGCACAACCGCTTACAATCTTACACAAATCTACAGTATTCCCTTTCCCATAACTGGTCCTGTAGCACGTGCCTGAGTATTCCTTCTGAGCAAAATACCAGTCTGGCTTGAGTTTGTAGGATTTTATCAGCTCTCCAATGTGAAATGTCACTTTAAGTTGTGGAGTCCTTCCAATAATCAGTAACAAGACTTGTGGCCTGACACAAACAGAGACACTAACTAACTATAGGCCTGGACTCAGTCTCAAGGCGCCAACACTGAAATGAGGTGCGTGCACGATCTTACCGACCCGGGTCTGCTTTGCATCCGCTGGTGACTCTGAACAGAACAAATATCTCTCCAACAAGCATGCGGTCTTGCCGTATATGTTGCTTAGTTCCTCTGCTCTCATCAGCATTCCTGGCAGCAATCTCATCAGCTTCCTGGCAGCAATCTCATCAGCATTCCTGGCAGCAATCCCATCAGCTTTACTCAGCTGCAGCTTTGGCCACTGAGGGACGCCCCCACACCTGGATGTCATCAGATTCTCAGCTCACACGGCCCCCCATTCACCATGCTCCAAAACATGGCTTCACTCTCTCCTTCCTGTTCTCTCCAACTCTGTGTGCAAAATCCCACCTCTTCATGAATATACAAATATCTATGCAGTCTGAGGCTGTGTTAGAAAAACAGTGACATCTTGTGGCTAAACCACAGAATGTCAGTCAAAACATTAATTTACTTCCATACAAACAGTGTTCAAACAATGAGAGCTGTTTCCCCATCTCACAGCGCTGAAAGCTGAAAACTGGCCTGGATAGGAAGGGGGTAAAAGTGTCTGGACTTGAAGTGGTTAAGACCCTGGCTAACGGGCTTGGCGCGCATTTTGCAAGTGGACAGAGGTTCCAGTAGAGCAGGGACAGGATAGAGATGTGCCATCTTTCCAGGAATCCTCCCATTTGGGAACAGACTGGCCAGGTTGCATTCCGCCCCTGAGGACAGACTCTGTCAGCACAGCTGCGGCCTGCTCCACTCCTGTTAAGAACTCTGAGTATTTCCAGTCGGGTGCCTACCCACTGGTTTGTTTGTTGAGCCTTGCCTTCGATACAAGTTCTGTTTATTTAATTTGGAATCACTGTTGCCACACCACTCTGCACCCACCAACAAGAGTTATTCCCCATTGCTCCCCTGTGTGGAACTACTCACCTACTCACCAATTTCTTAAAAGAAGGCCATGCATGTGCAGATCAGCATGGCGGCCATCTTGGAATGAGCCAGATGGTACAAATTTTTCCTGGATGTTCCAGAGGTAGGTAGATGCTGTAGTACAGTTTGTCTGGGAGATCCCATCAAGTACACAAGTACAGTACAGGACACAGGCCAACTTCCCCTGTGTGGATTGCTGGGAGCAGGAGAAGTTATATTGGGTTCCTCACTATTTTTTTTGTCAGTGTTCAGTCGTATGACGATACTTGCCTATAACCCAGTCCTCTCTGAATCTGCCCATGTCCTGTCCTATACTGCAAGAAATGGATTTTACCGGTAAGATTTTCAGATATTTTCTCTGTTCACCATAGTTAGGTTCTACTACCACATGCAGGAGTAGGAACAAAACAAAACTAAATCTCAGTCTAGGGTCAACCCTGCTGGTGGCCAAAACCCCTAATTTTATAATCAGTATATGGCCTAATTGTACAAATCTTTAGTTTGTTAAATTGAGAGCTTTACAGAAAAAAGTTTTTCTTTTTGCACATTTTTTTCAGAATTGTGTTATGCTATGTTTCTGGACTTAAATCTTTCTAAAACAGAGAGAGAGGGAATATGAAGACCCAGTGATATAGAAAATGTACTGCTGTTCTTGATATTTACATTTTTCCAGGTTCTGTACACCATAACTGTGATACAATATTCTGACTGGGCAGCTCCTGCTGTGTAGGTTGAAGTTGCTTATGTGAGGGTACATTTAACAAATGTGCAAGATGCAATCAAACTATTCAATGCCAGAGGCTAGCCACAAAAACAATTGCCTATGGCCAGAGTGAGAGCAGAAAATACAGACTGTAATTTGTTACTGATTACACAAAGAAGCGACCCCAATATTGATCTGGTATGTTAATGTATACTTTACAATACCCAATGACCTGAAAAAAACATTGGCCTGTCCTACAGCTGGATGAAGCAATTAAGAGACATATTATTCCAAGGGCCTCCTTGACTTCGAAAAGATCACGTTTACTTGACAAACTTTGTTAGAGTCACTTTTCAAGTATTCGCAAGGAATCCAGTAGAAGCACAAAATTACAATTCACCACTGTGGAACCTATAAATACATGGTACACACATACTGTATACCATTTACGACAGAAATAGGGTAAAGAAATGTAAGATTCTTGACGATATTAATGGTTCACACACAGGGTATCATTTATGGTTTTATTTGCCCATGTGGCAAGAGGTGGTAATGCAATAATATACACTCACCAGCCTCTTTATTACGCACACCTGTTCAATTGTTTGGTAACACAAATTGCTAATCAGCCAATCACATGGCAGCAACTCAATGTGTTTAGGCATCTAGACGTGGTGAAAATGACTTGCTGAAGTTCAAACCTAGCATCAGAATGGGGAAGAAAGAGGATTTAAGTGACTTTGAACGTGGCATGGTTGTTGGTGACAGACAGGCTGGTCTGAGTATTTAAAAAACTGCTGATCTGCTGGGATTTTCATGCACAACCATTTTCTACGGTTTCCAGAGAATGGGCAGACTGGTTTGAGATGATAGAAAGCAACAGTAACTCAAATAGCCACTCGTTACAACCAAGGTATACGGAATACCATCTCTGAATGCACAACACATCAAACTATGAAGCAGATGGGCTACAGCAGCAGAAGACCACACCGGGTGCCACTCTTGTCAGCTAAGAACAGGAAACGGAGGCCGCAATTCACACAGGCTCACCAAAATTGGACAATAGAAGACTGGAAAAACGTTGCCTGGTCTGATGAGTCTCGATTTCAGCTGGTAGGGTCAGAATTTGGCATAAAGAACACGAAAGCATGGATTCATCCTGCCTTGTATCAATGGTTCAGGCTGGTGGTTGTGGTGTAATGGTGTGGAGGATATTTTCTTGGCACACTTTGGGACCCTTAGTACCAATGGAGCATCGTTTAAATTCCATGGCCTACCTGAGTATTGTTGCTGATCATGTCCATCCTTTTATGACTACAGTGTCCCCATCTTCTAATAGCTACTTCCAGCAGGATAATGTCACAAAGCTCAAATTATCTCAAACTGGTTTCTTGAACATGACAATCAATTCACTGTACTGTAATGGCCTCCACAGTCACCAGATCTCAATCCAGTAGAACACCTTTGGGATGTGGTGGAACACGAGATTTGCATCATGGATGTGCAGCCTACAAATCTGCAGCAACTGCGTGGTGCTATCATGTCAATATGGACCAAAATTTCTGAGGAATGTTTCCAACACCTTGTTAAATCTATGCCACAAATAATTACGGCAGTTCTGAAGGCAAAAGGGGGTCCAACCTAGTACTAGCAAGGTGTACCTAATAAAGTGGCAGGTGAGTATATCTCAACAATTAAATTAGCATCTACAAATACATCTTTGGGTAAACTTATGACTGTTGTCGGGAATCACTTTTTAATGGTGCATGGTGGCTTTCCATCTGGAGCTTGCAAGGGGTAATCCTTGCAGTAGGAATATTAATAGATCTCTACTACAAAACGTTTTCCACTGGATTAAAAAATGTGGTCATTCCCGACTATTTTAATGGCATCTCCTATTCACAGGTATATTTTTCCTTGAAGTTATACCACTCTGGAGACTGTCCATTTCCTTGTGATATGATGTTGCTGTGTAGCTCATGCTTTTAATTCATACTGTGATTGAATGAGAGAATTATAAAGTTGGTGATAGAGAGGATGGGTTTATTCACTTGAAAAAGCAGGATATAGCAAAACATCTTGAAAACTGGATGCTTTATACCCTTTCATATTTAAATGTTTTTATTGAGAAAATTTGAAACATACAACATAACAGAGAACAGAGAACAACAGTATACAAGGTTCACAATTAATATAGATATTATATGGATAGGAAAGATGGAGTGGAGGTACCCCCCGCCAACTGGCCGGGGTAGATATTAAAGTCTCGTCTTGGTTACATGAGAGGTATGCTCTAATTTTGTGAACCTTGTTGAAACCTTGGTAGATATTTATATGGGGAAATTAGAAGGGGCAAAGGGGGGGAAAGGGGGGGGGGAAGTGAGGGCACCTAAATAATCGGGATCGTCAACTTGGATGTTATAAGATCATTTTATTACGCAGTTGGGGTTCTGTAGCCAGCGAGTCCAGTGAGTCTCAAATTTATGATATGAGGAATTATGGAGGGCTGTTCTTCTCTCCATCTCACACAGAAAGTTAAGGTCAGTTAGTAATCGGTGTAAAGAGGGAGTGGTGATAGATCGCCACAACCTGGTGATATTGAGCTTTGCAGCTGACAAGATGTGTATGGTAATAATGCGTGAAGATAGTGGTAGTTTGTCTATGCCAATATGTAGGAGCGCTAGAGCAGGGTTTGGAGAAACTGATGTCTTTGTGATGGAGGAGATTATCTGGAAAACTTGGTTCCAGTAGGAGGTGAGGGATTTACACGCCCACATTAAATGGAGAAGTGAGCCTGTTTCACCACAATGTCTCCAGCAAGTTTGGGAATGTTGAGGGTAGAATAAGGACAGTTTAACGGGAGTTAAGTACCATTGGTGAATTATTTTCAAATATGCTTCCCAATGGGAGCTGCACTTTGTGGCTTTGAAAGTGATGGTGAAAGTTTTCTCCCACGTATTGGGAGATATGGGTTGGGAGATTACCTTTTCCCAGTTCGCAAGGGATGATGTGTATGTAGTAAATTGTGCTTCAACTAGAGCTGTGTAAAAAGTTGATATACCTTTTTTTGGGTAAATTGTCCTTTGGAAGAATTGTTGTGCTGTTGCTGGGATTTTTATGTTGAGTGGTACATGTACCTTGTGCAGGATATGGGCTATACGTATATAGGTGAAATGTTCAGTGGCCGGGATTTGGTATTTTCCTCGAATAGTCTGAAAGGAATCTAATGTATTTTTAGTGTATAAGTCTTGTATATTCAGTATTCCATGGTTTATCCATAGAGTTAGGTTTAAATGGGGGGAAAGAAAATGTAGGGATGAAAGCGGGAGTGGGAATTTGAAGGTTATCTTTGCGTAATTGATTATGGGCAATAAAGTCATACCAAGCTATTAAGGAAGCTTGTATGCAAGGGTGGTTGTGTAGATTTGTAGGGTGTGCTCCACGGGGTACAAATAATAAATCTGACAAGGTGTGCGGTAGGAACAGGGAAGTTTCCATTAGAGTCCAGGTTTTGCTTATTGTGGGCTGCCTCCAAAAGAAGAGCTGATCAAGTAGAGCGGCATGGTAGTATGATTTCACATGTGGGAGACCCGCTCCGCCTCTGGAGGGTGGACGAATTAGAAGGTTTGTGGCACACCTGGGCTTTTTCGAGTTCCAAAGGAATTTGTTCAATATTGCCTGGAGTTTCGTGAAGAAAGTGTGAGGGGCTGGGATAGGGAGAGTGCGAAAGATGTAGAGTATCTTGGGTAGTATAGAC